GGTGGTGGAGTCACCAGCCCTGGGTGTGTTAAATAAAGCCTGGATGTGGCTCTGGGTGCCAGGGGTCACTGGAGGGCTTGGGCTGGGCTGGACTCGATGATCTTGGAGGTCTCTTCTAACCTGGGCACTCTGTGATTCTGTGATAAGAACCTGCTCCTGCACAGAGGTGCTCAGGCAGCCCAGGTAAGAGAGAAAAGCCAAAACCTGGCATTTCTCCCCTGTATTAATAAGGAATTAGAAAGCAGAGGAGATTTTCTCTCACCAGCAGCTTCTATGTCTTTGGAGTCTTGCGACAGAGCAAATAATTCAGGAAAAAAAGCAGCATTTCCTGTGCAGGTTTACTCAGCTGATTGCACTTGAGCAGTGTAGGTTGTTCTTTTTTGTGGTTTTTAACTTAGGCTGTTTGATTCCCTCCACCTAACGATGAAACTCCCAGCACAAAATGCTCTGCTTGTTTGCACGAATGGGGTGGGATGTGGTAAAACACATTTAATTCTCCTCAGCTGTGTCCCAGCCCCATGAAACGAGGGGCACACGTTAATTGGGAGAGGGGCTGATTGTTCTGGGGTCTAACTCTGCTGATTCCAGAGGAGTTTGGATCCTTTCCCAGGGCTCAGTTTGGCCCTGAATCCTCCCATTTTATGAATTAAGGTTGACATCAAGTTTAGAATTACGAAAGTGGGAAAGCAGTTAAAGCTAGAAGACACAAAGTCTCTGCAGCCACATCTGGAAATACTCATTTCTGCTTCATATTTTCCTATTTCAGCTGCAGATCACTGCAGAACATTTGGTTTTTGTGGGAGGCTAAAATCTTGAGTTTTAATTGTTTCATTTTAGCCAAAAATCAAATCTGGGGTTTTTAACATCTTTCCTCTTGTAATAATTAAGCACTTTCAAGGGAAATCCCCTGGGACCAACCCAGAGCCTTTTCCCAGGCTCACCTCCATCCTGTTCAGGATCAAACCCCCAGCCCTATAAACTTGTACCACACTCCAGTTTTACAGAAGTGAAAAAAAATATATATTCAGAGGCTGAAATAGCTCAGAGTTGCAAATGAAAAACTTATTGGGGGTTTATCAAGGAAAAAAAAGAAAAATTATTCTAACCAGGAACTGAGATCCATTTCAATGGGATACATCACGGGAATTGGCACAATTTTAAGTTTTCAGTCCAGGAAAGTGGATTTGTGTTTGTTCAACTTCAATCTAAGACCAGATTCTGGTGATTAAAGGTAAACCCAGGAGAAGGGGAGACTAAAGGTCCTTTGTTGGAGGAAGCTGGGAGCCCAAATCCCAGCGTGGTTTTTATTTCTGCTGGATCTTTGTAGGCAGCCCCAGGTGAAAACGAGGGGATTTAAGGGCAGAAATCCCGGAAATTGCAGCAGGATCTGTCCTTGGGGCAGCTCTGGGTGTCCTTGGGGGCTGTGGGACACTCACTGCTGAAAAATAAAGAGGCTTTTGAAGGCAGAACTTGAGGTTTTGGGTCTGCCACTCCCATTTAAGTGATGGAACCTCAGTTATTCAAATCAATGCTGGTTTGTGAGAAGGGGATCAGGACTGAGCAAAACCTTCTGATGGAAGGTTTTTCCATGTGTTTCACTGGAAAAAAACCGTATTTTTTAAAAATAAAAAAGTGGGGTTTGTTCCCTTTTCCAACAAATAACCCTGGTTCTTTGTTCCTCAGCTTGGTGCCAGCAAAATTTGGGTTTAGTATGAGGAATAATGACAGTGAATTGCTTTTAAAGGAATTTAAAAGTGTGTGTCACCTGTGTCACCTTCTCTCTCTGCTTCCAGGCCTTCTTCACAGAGAAATATCTCCAAGAACATCCTGAAGATCAAGACAAAATCGAGCTGCTCAAGCAACAAATTGCAATACAGGTGTGGAACTGGGAAAGAGCTGGAGGCACTGGGGGAGTGGGGAAGAAGGAATCAGGGAATCCTGGAATGGTTTGGGTGGGAAGGGACCTTAAATCCCATCCTGTGCCCCCAATTCCATGGGCAAGGACACTTCCCAACATCCCAGCTCACTCCAAATCCCATCCAGCGTGGGATTTGGGGGAAATGTTGATATTTCTCCAACACCAAAAATCCCCTCGGTGTCACCAGCTCTGAGTGAGCAGCGGAGCTCCCTCGCTGCGTCACTGTTTTATTTTCCCCTCTGCAAACCCCAAACCAGGCGCGTTTAAACGCTTTAATCGCATCCGAGCCGTGTAACTCGCACTCTGGGGGAGCAGGAGGGTTGGTCTGTGCTCCTGCTGCTCCTTCCTCACGTTCTGCCTCTTCCTCAGATGCCCCTGCTGGCGGAGGGGATCCGGATCCACGGGGAGAAGCTGACGGAGCAGCTGAAGCCCCTGCACGAGAGGCTCACGTCGTGCTTCAGGGAGCTCAGGAGGAAGGTGGAGAAGCAGTACGGGGTCATAACTCTGGTGAGGGAACCTGGTTTTTCCGTATTTTTGGCTCCAGAGGAAGCTAACTTGCCCCCCTTTTTTTCACCCACGGGTGGGTTGGAGGTGGTGTCACAGAATTCCAGAATGGGCAGGGTTGGGAAAGAGCTTTGAGGTCTCGCCGAGTCCAAGCTGTAACGATGAATTGTGTCCAGTTTTTATGTATAAGCAAAACGTGGGTTTGTGCAAACATGAAAAGGCTTCTTACTGCTGGTACCTGCTTGCTAGGAGTGTAACCAGGGCCTTACACCTATAAAGTGGGTACAATTCATAATAACAGTGGCAAAAAAAAAGAAAAAAATACGTAACAGCATAAAGGCAGCAATTCACAGCACAGTGATTGAAGCAAATGCAGTGAAATCATTGTATTTTGCTTTTATTTCGTGCCCATGCTTTACTTTTAAGTCCAGTATTCTTGTTTGTATTGATCCCGTGCTGTGGCTCCATAATGACACCAAGCACTGTGGAATATTGCACACTTATCAATTAATTAATAAATTGCCTGATGGATTGACCTACCCAATTGTGATGAGCAATTGATAACATCAATGAATTAGTAAATTACCTTATTGACTGACCAACTCGGTTGTGGTGAGCAATTGATAACATCAATGAATTAATAAATTACCTGATCGATTGACTTACCCGATTGTGGTGAGCAATTGATAACATCAATTAATTAATAAATTGCCTGATGGATTGACCTACCCGATTGTGATGAGCAGTCGATACCATCCATGAATTAATAAATTGCCTCATTGAATGACCAGCTCGATGTGATGAGTAATTGTTAACATCAATGAGTTAATAAATTACCTGATCGATTGACCTACCCGATTGTGATGAACAATTGATAACATCCATGAATTAATAAATTGCCTCATTGATTGACCAGCTCGATGTGATGAGCAATCGATAACATCAATGAATTAATAAATTGCCTGATGGATTGACCAGCTCGATGTGATGAGCAATCGATAACATCAATGAATTAATAAATTGCCTCATTGATTGACCAGCTCGATGTGATGAGCAGTCGATAACATCAATGAATTAATAAATTGCCTGATGGATTGACCAACCCGATTGTGATGAGCAGTCGATACCATCCATGAATTAATAAATTGCCTGATGGATTGACCAGCTCCATGGTGCTAATTGTGGATTGACCATTTGCTAATTGCTAACGGGGCCGTGTTTTCCCGCAGCCCGCGGCGCTGACCGACAGGAAGCCCGGCCGCTCGGGCTCCGTGGTGCTGCCCTACATCATGTCCTCCACGCTCAGGAGGCTCTCGGTCACCTCCCTGGCCTCCTCCGTGGCCTCCAGCTCGTCCACCTCGTCCGACAGCGCTTCCTCCAGGCCGGGCTCCGATGGGTCAGTGATTGCTGGGGGGATGTGGCTCAGGCAGCTCTGGGAATCAAGGTTTATTCCGTGCAAATGTCACTGCAGAGGCAGGCACGACACACAAGGGACACACCGAGTGTCACAGAAACATCCCCTGTATTCCTCCAGCTCGCTGCCTTTGGTACCCACTGCACACTCGACTCTGCTCATGGGTTACAGTAAATCAACACGACCTTGATTGCTGTGGAACCCCTCTCCACCTCTGCTTTTCACAAGATTTTTCTGAAAATACTTATCCCTGCTGCAGGTTCTCTTCTGCTTCTCTCCTTGTCCTTCTCTCCTTGTCCTT